CAAATGAAAACAGCCAAAATAATTTTTAGAAGGGAAAGATTTCAGGTTTGTTTAATGTCACTTAAAAGCACAAAGCAGTAAATGAGGAAAAAGTTCAGCTTAAAATTATTTTCTGGGTCAGTTTGACAAAAATTAAATCCCATGAACAGTAAGGCTCTTTAGTAAAGAAATTGCTCCAAGAGAAACAATGCATTTAAAACATAGAAAAGTGTTCTGCAAAGGGAAAAAAATCTTGCATTTCCTACCCCTACCTTACCTGTTAAAAACATTTTCATCTTCACAAAACCTTTTTTTTTTTAAATAAAAACCAGATCTTATCTGCCCTGAACAAAATATTTCCTACATGCTTTTTCAAAATATCTTTATGGTTTTTACCACTGTTAGCAGCACTGTTTAAATTCCTCAGAGAGGAGCTCAGTTCAGGCTGGTCTGAACACCACACTGCACCTTCAGCAGGTGTAAGTAACATCATACCTTAAGCAACAGCAACATCACTTAGCCTGTCTACGACAAAGCCAGTTTTACAGTTGTGGGAAACCTCAAAGTGTTTTTATAAAGTAAAACAATGACAACTCAAGAAACGACATCATGAAAGCCAAGAAAACAGAAGTTGAGCAACTAACAGTAAACTGAAGTGTTTCATTAATGTCTATTAAAATCAATGCTTTAATATTTTAAATAAGAATTTCATTAAAGATTCAAAACCTGCAGCTAAGCTCTAAAAACCACGCAATCTAAGACTCTTCTCCAAGTAGCCTGCAACAAAATTAGGAGAGTCAATAAAGGCACATTCTAGTCCCCATTCCCACAGCCACCTCTTGAGATGAATTTGTCTTTAAAAAAAAAAAAAAAAACAAACAAAAAACACCAATAGTTACTGGTCTTTTAACTACAGCCAAACTAAACAAACAGTGTCAAAAGTCCACACATTTTGCTTTTTCCATTATATTCTTGGTCCTCAACAACTGCTCTTTATATCAGTGGTCAAATCAGACCACTACTGTCACAGGGTTAGTCTGAGCTGAAAAATGGTTAAATCTATCAATATCATGTTCTACTCCTTCCTTTTCATGCAGAGAAACTTACTTTTTTTTTTTTTTTTAAAAGACGACAAGTTTTAGTGATTGTGGATACTATTGTTTGAAGCTTGTACAGCTACTGAACTGGAACATTAAATATGTTAGAGTACACTAAAACTAAATCATATTGCATTAGATTGCTATATTTAAACTGTTAATATAATACTATTGTTAAAACAGACAGTCATCTGAGATGGCTTAACACTATCAGTGTCAGAACTTAAATGCAAGAGAATCCATTTAATCAAAACATTATGTTTTATATAATGAATTCATCATTCACTTGGCTTTCAACTGCCTTTGAACAAAGTATTTCATGACACAACTTTACCTTCTATATAGTTTCAATTAATAAATGCTTTTAACCAAGTAGACTAATTGCAGGTTACCAATCGAAATACAAACATTTCCCAGCGCACGTTCTTTTTGGAAAGGCTTTATGTGAAGGAGTAAAATAAACTTGCACTTAAATGCTATGTTTCAGGATAATAAAGCCATTATCAGTGAAATAACTATGTTTAAATTTTAATTGATTGAATATGAACCATGTGTGTCTATTTTCAACATTTTCAATCAGTGGACCATTTATGCATTTAGTCTGACACATAAGAATAACTACCTACAGGGAAGAACTTTTGTTGTAGAACAGTATCATATTTTGCTTGTAATAAAGCAAATGCATAGTTCATTAGATATTTCAGAACAACAGTTCTTTTGGAACATATATATATATATTTTAACCAAGTATTGCACAGTAGAAAAAAGGAGGGGAAAAAAGAGAACCAACCGTTAAAAAAAAAGAGTGTATATGAAGAGCTATTGCTGAATTCTTAGGTACATTTTGATCGCATATAATTTAGTACCAACACCTAAAAGACAGGATTATTGAGAGCAAAATCCTGGATTACAAAATAATATTTTTTTCTTTTTTTTTTCCTCTTTCTTTTTTTGCAAAACACCACCACTGTTCAAGGTTTGGTTGTA